GGAGTACGGCATATCACTCACAAATCAACGGCCAAACAAAAGTTATAAATAGGTGCTTGGAGACAGCCTAAAACCACCCACCAAATATGACTATCCAAGGAGAACTCCAAACCCAGCCAAGTGCCATTATTGATCGACGGATCGTGACTCGACGACGACGACCCACTACTAAAGTGCTAATACAGTGGGTGAACATACCAACAGAAGATGCCACTTGGGAGAACTATGATGACTTGAAGATCAAATTCCCAAAATTCATGAATCGTCAGCCTCGAGGACAAGGCTGATTTGAAGAGGGCGGGTCTATTAGGACTCTAGCTAGGAGAGTCATAATTGAGAGGGACATTCATGTAAAACCTACCTAAGCCAACCCCTATTAAAGAGGCAAAGAGGTCGGCTAGGGTTAGGAGGTTGTTTCTTAGAGATGAATTATGAGTTGTAAAGGAATAGGGGTCTTGAGTAAAAGTCCTATTAGGAGTTAGGGTTTAGAAACCCTATAAATAGCCATGCATTCCTCATCTTTTGATAAGCAATAGATGAATCTTTTCTGTAGCCTTTGAGCAGCAACTTGGAGGGAGGAACCCCTATAGAGTTCCAAGGAGGCCGATCCCCTAAAGAGATCAACCCCAAGTTTAGAATCTGCAAGGGTTCTAATAGTGTCCTCCTCCTCCTTGAGCTTTATGATCAATTTAAGAGGGGTGTGAGGCTTGTAAAATGTTGTCTCCTAAACCTATAAAAAGGAGACAGTATTATAAGAGGGTGATTGGTCCTCGCCCATTAAAGAAAGATCGATAATGGACGCTAGTGTCCTCAATGGAGGAGGAATCGGGAGTGCATGTAGGTTACAATGACCGAACTACTATAAAATTAGTGAGTATTTTCTTGTTGCTCTTAATTACTATTGTTTTCTACCATAATTGCTTATCACTCTTATTTTAAGTCAAGCACATTTATAATATCTTTTCTGATACGCTTTTATTAAGTCAAAAGTTTCGAATCGATTTAATTTTTATGTACTAATTAACCCTCCCTCTTAGTGCTGCTATTCATGATCCTAACAATTTTGACTTATTTTGATACCACTTCAATAAGAAAAATAAAATAAGAGACAGAGAGTTAGAGAGGAGTTAAGGGATGATGCAAGAGAAATAAATTTTTTTTTCTTCTAGATAAATCTCTATTTTTATTTTTTTTGTACTTTATCATGATAAATCTCATTAGAAGATTCAATTGCTAAGGTTATATTTATATATTTTTATTTTATGCAACCTATTAATTATATTAGTGATTTATTATTTTCATAATCTTCTCCTTGATAATTTTTATCATGATGTAATCTCTTTATTTTTACTTAATTTTAAAGATTATAATTATTTATACCTCATATACTCATTAAAGAGGTTCTAATTCTTTATTTTAATTAAATTTAATTCTCTTGACGTAGACTTCATCCTCTTGTTTGAGAAATTAAAAAAATGATGCATGTGTGAGATTGTCTCACTCTGAATAACTACGATGGAAGATTGATGTCGCTGCAACTACTGGAATGTGGGAGCTCATCCTCGTGGACCCTAATGCATCAGGCCTACGAAGGACTTCAACTCCTGTTTCCTGGTCTTAAACATACGACCATTAAATAAAGAAATGTTGTAGGCCTACGGCACTTGCTATCTACGGCAACAGCTGGTTAGAAAATTCACTAGAATCATAACATTTTGTGGTAATTCAGCTCTTACTACATGTCTAAAAAATATGTAAATGAGAACGAGAAATAAACAACAACGCATGTCCCCACATTCCTCTCGTAGATAAAAGTCTAAAGAGATCACTGTAAGCAGAGTCCTAACTTTTGCCTCCCACTTTCGGCGATGTTGCTGCATATATTGCTACAAGATTTTATGTGAGAATATCACAAGCTTATCTTAAAGTCAAATCACTAACATCGTGATCCAAATACTTCTGCAATCATTTGACCACGTAGAGAGAGAAAGAAAGCACTCTGAGGCTGGTAATTCTCCACAAAACGCGGTCTCGGCGAACTTCGATTGCTTAGACCAAATCCGTGCGTCCTGCACCTTCAGAGAAAAAGGAGTAGGAAACCAAAAAAACACAAGACATGGAAAGAACAAAGCAGATTGCCCCCAAAGGAGAGTTTTAAGTTAGCTCTTCTGATAACCACATCATGGTCGATTAGTCTGATCTCTCTTGAGTACAGGGGAACAAAGGAGAGAGAGAGTGTGTGTGTGTGTGAGGAGGAGGAGGATTTATAAAAGGGTGGTAGACAGGCAGCTTCTAAGGTATGTAACCTTTTTATTGTTCTTCTCAATGGGTCAGGAGGACTCCTCTCCCTCTGCACATATCTATTGTGAATTATTATTATTATTATTTTGTTGGTTTTATGGGCTTTATTTATTCTTCTCAATGGGTAAGGAGGACTCCTATCACTCTGCACATATCTATTGTGAAATATTCTTTTTTCTTTTTGGGTGGTTTGATGGGCTTTATTAATTCCTCTTTATGGGAGGAGGGGATGTTTCTTACATGAAAATGAACTCAGGCATTTATGTGGGGATGTCTATTAGTTTTCTTGTGCTTCCTCCGATATAGGTCTCTCTTAAGGGGTCATACAGGACTGCTTTCTGAGTTTTGTGCTTGATCTAGGTGTTCTGTGGTTTTCTTGTGCTTCTTCGACTGAAGACCTCTCTTTGCTGCTGCTCTCGCTTTTTTTTCCTTGAACAGGAACCTCAACTTGCCTCTGCTTTCTGTTCCACTTCTTTTGGGTGCGTGCGGATACTAATCTGTTTCTTGATTTAATGTTTTGGTGGTGCGCTTGACTTGGTTATGATACTTAGTGATCTGGCACAGTTTAAATGCATTGCGTTGTTTTACCAAATTGCCAGTGTTTATTTGTGCCGGACTCTTTTTAGGTTTCTTCTTGAATGTGAATCAGCATATCTATTCTCGTAAATTTTCTTTGTTATGTGCATCCATGTCTTAAGATCTGGTTGATTGCATAAGTTAGCGTAAGTCATGATTTCTCTGCATACAATCCGTGACCAACTCTCTGTTAGCTTGTGTTCTTCAATCATGTCGTCAGTCCCAACAGATCTCTTAAACAGTTAATTTCTCCAACGAAAAGCACAGAACAAGAACCAGCTGATTTTTGTTCACCATCACCATGACATTTCCTTGAGATGAATTCACTTACATAAGATCCTTATTATGATTTAAACTGTGGCTCCTTCCAGTTTATTATTATTTTTGTTGTTTATTGTGTTTATGTGTGAGATATAATACTATTCTTATTTTGGACTGTTTGCTTGATCTTTAAGCTTTAACCTTTCCACTGTTTGATTTCATGTCTGAATATACTATGCGTGTCAAATTTACAGGTCTAATGGCCAAAGACTATCCTGGGTCTCCAAAGATCCACCAGTTGGAATAAAAAAGGCGGCGCATTACCTATATCTTATCCGTAGGTGGTTTATGCGTTCTGTTCTACATCCTTGGGACTTGGCAAAACACCACTACCCCAACGTTCAATGCCAACTCGAATTTGTCTGAGAAAGTTGAGTGTGATCCGCAAGCCAATGCTTTGTCATCTTTGTCATTGGAAGATGACATCCTTGATTTTGAAGCCCACCACAAGCTAAGCCTCGATGAAACGTTGATGGCGATCGAGAAATTCCCAGTTTGTGATCTAAATTTCGGTGAGTATACGCCGTGCCAAGATCTAACTAGGGGAAGGAGGTTCGAAAGGGCGATGCTGGTGTACCGAGAGAGACACTGTCCTGAAAAAAAAGAGCTCATCGAATGTCTAATTCCTGCTCCACCAAAGTACAAAAGACCTTTCAAGTGGCCTCAGAGTAGAGAATATGCTTGGTATGACAACATCCCTCACAAGGAGCTCAGCATCGAGAAGGCTATTCAGAACTGGATTCAAGTCGAAGGCGATCGGTTTAGATTCCCCGGAGGTGGGACAATGTTCCCACGGGGCGCTGATGCTTACATTGACGATATAAATGCTCTTATCTCACTAACTGATGGTAAAATTAGGACTGCGATCGACACAGGCTGCGGAGTAATCCCTTCATCTTCTCAATTTATGTTTGGATAACTTTTTTTTCCATTTCAAACCAAACTGATTCCTGAGATGTGTAATTTTATCTGCACACCTCAGGTGGCCAGTTGTGGTGCTTATCTTCTGAATAGGGATATCATAACAATGTCATTTGCACCAAGAGACACACATGAGGCTCAGGTGCAGTTTGCTTTGGAACGAGGAGTTCCAGCCATGATTGGAGTGATGGCTACGCAGCGGTTGCCATATCCGGCTAGAGCATTTGATATGGCTCATTGTTCCCGGTGTTTGATTCCTTGGTATGATTATGGTAGGTTATATTGGTAGCAAATTAAAATCACACTCCTATGGGTGATGACATCTATATACCAACGAATTGAATATAGTTCATGTCCAACCTCAGTTTGTGGTTTTTTTTATTATCATAATTTTCTTCAGAGAAAAACTGAATAGCATTTTTTTTTCTATAATCTCAAAATTCTTTCCACGAATTAGCAGCATGGGCTGATGTATTTTTTTCTTCTTCCACATATTCGTGGACCTTTTATATCAGATGGTCTATATCTGATCGAAGTTGACCGAGTTCTAAGACCAGGAGGTCATTGGATTTTGTCTGGTCCTCCAATTCAATGGAAGAAACACTATCAAGGTTGGGAAAGGACTCAAGAAGACCTAAAGAAAGAGCACGAAACAATAGAGGCAGTTGCTAAACGTCTTTGCTGGAAGAAATTAATAGAGAAGGATGATCTTGCAATTTGGCAGAAGCCCATCAACCACGTTGAATGCATTGAAAGCCGGAGGATCTATAAAACACCTCACATTTGCAAGAACGACAACGCTGATGCTGCCTGGTAGGGAAGATACTGAATGCAGCACTATCTGACATAATCTTGTACTTCCTTAATATCAATTGAACAAGCATCATGCACTTCACAAATGAGAAGAAACATTTATAGTCTCTGAACAACGTGTTGTACTGTTTCCTTTGAACGAATGGTATTTGTAGGTATAAGAAGATGAAGGCCTGTATCACCCCATTACCAGAAGTGAGCAGTCCGGATGAAGCTGCAGGTGGTGAACTCAAGGAATGGCCGGAGAGGGCATTTTCTGTCCCACCAAGAATTAGCAAGGGTTCAATACCTGCTTTGACTTCAAAGAAATTTGAAGATGACAACATAGTGTGGAAAGAACGGGTTACCCACTACAAGAACATCATTCCAGCTTTGTTTCAAGGGAAATACCGAAATGTGATGGACATGAATGCCTACTTGGGTGGATTCGTGGCAGCTCTGATGAAGTATCCTGTGTGGGTGATGAATGTGGTCCCTGCAAATTCAGATTATGACACCTTGGGTGTAATCTATGAGAGGGGATTTATTGGAACATATCATGACTGGTGTGAAGCCTTCTCAACTTATCCAAGAACTTACGATCTCATCCATGCTACAGGCGTTTTCAGCATTTATCAGGACAGGTATAGGTGTTTTCAGCAATCTTCTCCTTTCTCCTTCTAAAAGATTGAAAAGTTAATTCAGAGCCATCTATATCATATTTATTATGGCCAACGATAGCTTTGACAGATTGCATAAATTGCCCTCATCCATAATTATATCCATATGTTTTCTTTCCCTCTATTACATTGTTTTAACGAGTATTGGTTTTAAATAATCCTACAGCATGTCCACAAAGTAGCAAAATTTAAATGGAAGCTGCAGGGTCTGCACAATCCATTTTCTCTGAACCATTTTCATTTGGCAAAGATTTATTGTCAATTGGAAGTTCGTTGCAGGTGCGACATAACATACATTCTCTTGGAGATGGATAGGATACTGAGGCCAGAGGGAACAGTAATAATCCGCGACACCGTGGATGTCCTCACAAAAGTCCAGTCCATAACAGACAGGATGAGATGGAAGAGTAGGACCATGGATCATGAAAGTGGACCTTTCAACCCTGAGAAGATTCTTTTGGCTGTCAAGACTTACTGGACTGCTGAGCCTTCTACATAATAGTACTGGATTCCTCTAGTTTGCCAATACTAGATAGGATATCATGCAGAGACGAGAGTTTTCATCTTCCTCTTGTTTTGAACTATGTTCATAGGATTCTTTCTGATGTCCTTCCTAATTAATATGTAGAAAGAAGGCAAAGATGCTGTGTTCTTTTATTACAACCTACTTCAAAGGGAGGGACAAGATATTATATGACTAGACTCAATATTGATGTTCTCATCATTGAATTGATAATCACAGACAGCATCTATTATTTAACAAAACAGAGTTGATATATAAGATTCATTAAACCGTCTCTTCTGCCTGACTGTCCTCTCGCTACCAGTGTAAGGCATCCTTTTGAACTTCCATAGATGACAAAGTTAGGAGGTGTCACTATGGAATTTGGAACAGGTAACAATCAGATTTCTATATCATACCATCATGTATGCAAGGTGAAACTGAAAGAGCAGTAAAGTAATGACACTTGAGCTATGTATTCCGTAGGATGGAAATTGTTCTCTACTTCGAGAAGATGAAGAGAGGAGCTTTGACAGAATCCTTTCTACAAAACCAACTTGTGACTGTGAAGAGTATCATGATGAAATTAAACTGAATCGTCAGACAATTTCAGTTTCACTAGTTCAGTTATTCCTTTGATTTAATATATATACAATGTATAGCTCTATCAATCCTTCAACCGTTCACTCTTCCGAAATTAATTAGTGAAGATGCCGAGTGTCTCTTTAGAGTCATGAATCCTTTGAGGGTAATTTTGCTTGTGTCATTTATAATGGTAACGATATTGTTATAATGACCGAGAATTTGTTTCATGATATTCCTATTCGTTTGAAACTTACTTTTTTTAACCATGCATTTCAATTTAGCTCAATACAACTTATCCTAAATGATCAAGGATGGTCACTGGGATAGTGGGAAATCACATCTTTGATCTGATCATATTTATGATTCTGTGATCACCATGATTTATTGGTTTTAGTACAATCTTATTCTATTAGGTTTTAATGATTAGCTAACCTCTTTTCTAAACCAAATTGTGCAGTGGGATATAATAGTCAAGTTTGATTGGTAAACCGATTGAGGAAAGCATATGTATATATATATATATATGTATATGTATATATATATGTATATGTATATATATACATATATATTTATATATATATATACATATATGTATACTTATATATGTAATATATGTATACACATATGTACACATGTATATATATGTATATATGGGTATATATATATACACACATATATACATATATATATATATATATGTATACATATATATATATATGTATACATATATATATGTATACATATATATATATATATATGTATACATACATATATGTATACATATATAAATATATATGTATACATATATATATATATATATTTATACATATATATATATGTATACA